GATCACTATTGTCACTACACAAGGAACATTGCCCTGATTTTCCAAATCTCTACACCTGCATCGCTATTTCACATTGTTTTATATAAATTCCCAGAACATTTAGTTTATTGTTTGTTTCGTGTGACAGAGACCATTGGCAAAATCTGTTTTCTTAAAGTTCCATAAACTAAACTATTTAAAAAATGTCCAAGCAGGCTTTCGTGAAATGAAACATCAGGTTTTAATTAAAAACCTCCCTGGTTGATTTTGCCAATCTGATATATATATATATAAATACAATTTATCTAATCCTCACAAAGTTAGATTCACAACATATTCTTCCACAGTATCTCATTTCCACTCCAAACAAAATGTAATTGCTTGAATGTTTAAGATAATACATTTCGAAATACAAATAAGAAATAAATTAAGAAAAAGTGGATGGCAAAGATTTATATGTGTTTTGTTTCTCCAAAAGACTAAAAACGTTCCCTTAAAAATGATGCTGTGTAAGATGAAAAAAAGTTGGAACTTCAATATGCTTTGAATACACATGTATAATCCAGTGTGGAAATTATTTGCTAAGGTAGAGCATATTTTCATAGTAAGAGACCTCTTGCCATGAGAGGGAGGTGTGGGCGTGAGGAATAGCAAAAGTTTTATTTATTACTTATACAGAGAGTACATTCTTATAAACATGCTAACGGGCAGAACATAGTAAGTTTAACTCCTTTATTGCATCCTTTTTCTGAATCTAGCCATTAGTATGTACCTGCTTAGGCTTATGAAGTCACTACATTGGCAAAAAGTAAAATAAAATGAAAATAAATACTTAAAGGACCCACTCTATGTGTTCTGAGATTACTCCTACCTAGCAAGTATTAAAAATTGACTTACTGCTGTATGAGATCAGACCTATTGAGACAGCCAAGAAACAAACTCTATAGCTTTTTTGATATCTAGTTGTAGTTTCTCCTTTTCTTTCCATTTTTAGTGGGAAGGACTGGAGTACTGTCACCACCTCATTTTTATCTATTAAGAATGTGTATTAACAAATTTATCTTCCTGAAACAATCAATATATATTAAATAAGTAGTTAAAATACATCTATAATAAATACAATTTATCCTTGCTATTCCTTGAATTAAAAAAATTGATAATGCTAGGAATAAGACCACAGAATCAATCTGATATGACAATTCTTCCCTGTAAATGCTAAACTCAGGAACTGAACAGATACACAACTGTCTATGAAAATTACTGTTTTTTAAAATGGAACAGAAAAACTAAAATATATAGGTGGCAGAGATGCATGCTATTCTATCAGTTTCACTATAAGGAGTGAAAAGCATTATATGAGATATTTATGAGAAAATCTACAATGGGTCCCTCAGCAATTTTATTCTTTTTTTATTATAGTTATATCCTATTGCAATATGTTGATTCTTGGAATGTAAACTTTCACATAATCTATTTAACACGCTAGAAAATTCAATATAGTGCATATTACATTCCCTCAAGTTTAGAACATTTAAATGTATTTGCAAGTATGATGGGTAAAGAATTAAAAAAAGAGCACAGTGAGAATGAATGCATCCTTATTATCACTTCTTCCCTACTATGATACTAGTTTAGTTTTATTTAAAGTCATAAACCAGCTGCCAGAGAATTCTAAAGGAACAGACAATACAGAGACTAGAGACAAAAAAATTATAGTTTAAAAAAATAAATGCTATATAATGTTAATATGTAAAAGTTTATAAAGGATCAAGGAAGCGTATTAATCATGTACATAATGTGAAAGTAATTGGACTGTGTAGATTATTAATATTTAAAAACGGCAAGGCCTTAATTTGTTCCCTTCACATTTCCCAATAGCAATTAGTCAACATTTGTCTACCTCTATGGAAAGCCTTCTAGAGATACTTTCTCTAGATTGTCTTCTGCAGATAGACATTACCTTTCTAGTCCATTGACCTCAGGACTATTATACAGATAGTCCTTCCCTTATGACCATAATAAAGCCTGCTCATTACGGTCACAAGGAGTGATGATTGTTAAGCAAGACAGCCTCACTTAATGGCTTACTCCAGGGGTAGGCAACCTTGGCTCTTTTATGACTCGTGGACTTCAACTCCCAGAATTCCTGAGCCAGCCATGCTGAGGGGAAAGGGAGAGGTTTCCAAGCTGAGCCATGCAGGCTCAGGAATTCTGGGAGTTGAAGTCCACGAGTCATAAAAGAGCCAAGGTTGCCTACCCCTGGCCTACTCAAACTTCCCCACTCTCCCAAACAAAGCTTTCCTCAGCACTGCACAGACCATTTCATGGAAGCAGAACCAAGGGGTCCATCCCTGGGCCATGTGGCAGTTTCCTGAAAGAGGCCCCTGCAAGGACAGGATGGAGAGGAGAGAGGCTGCAGCATCCCTGCAATCAGTCTTAAAAGCAGAGGCCACATCAGATAGCCTGGACACTTTAGCTCAGAGCTGTCAAACTCAATTTCACTGAGGACCGCATCAGCATTGCAGTTGTCCTCGGGGGGGGGGCAGGTAGGTGTGGCCAGGGTGGGCATGGCCTACTGGGTCGGCGTGGCTGGAGTTGGTGTGACCTACTGGGTGGGCATGGCCAGCTCTACATTGTTTGCGTCAAGGGTGCCTGTGGGGGCCTGGGCAGGAGTGGGACAGATCTGAGGGTCTCTGGCAGAAGGGGTGGGACCAGGGCAAGTGTCAAGGCATGATCCACTGAAGAGACTCACTGTTCCTTTCAGGCCATACGGGAGGGCTGGATGTTGCCGCGGGCTTCCCAGAGCCCTGGGCAGCAGAGGTCAAATGCCCAGCCCGGCTCTCAAGCACCCACGGCACCAAGCCCAGCCCCACTACCCCAAGGGGGTGCCCAGCTGCACTTACCTCCTCCTCAAGGCTGCTGCTGCTGTGCTTGCTCTCCTTGTGGAGCTAAGATTGAATGCATTTCAGCATAGATGGAAATTGTACATTGGCTCCTGGGTGGCCTGGACTGGGGCCAAGGCAGCAGGGGCCATTCCCTCAGTTTCCAGGATGACTTCGTAGGCCACATGAAACCACATCGCGGGCCACATCCGGGCCCCGGGCCTTGTGTTTGACATGTCTGCTTTAGCTTATTGTATTAATTTTGAGCACTAAGCACTGAATAAGGGGCATTTCAATAAGATATGCTGTCCCCTGAGCTACTGGAAAACTTATGTTGAAACCATTAAACAAATTAATGTAATATTCCTAGCCCAGGGGTAGGCAACCTTGGCTCTTTTATGACTCGTGGATTTCAACTCCCAGAATTCCTGAGCCAGCTATGGGAGTTGAAGTCCATGAGTCATAAAAGAGCCAAGGTTGCCTACCCCTGTCCTAGCCTGAAAACAAACACAACCTCTCTTGGTTTGCATTTGCATTTGCTTTCTTATATAACTTATATAAATGGCATTGGTAAGATATTAAATCTTTCCAGGGAAAAGCTTTTTGCTATAGCACTTAGAGATGCTAATTAAACAATTAGCTCAATTAAATATTCTTTCTCCCAAACCACATTCATAATAGCAGGAGATTTCTCTCCAATCCTTACAGGGATCAATGTTGAGGACACATTGCTTTAATTAATTAAAATAGGTTTGACTAAACCTAAGGAATCAAATACAGATTGAAAGACCATAATATATAAGATCAAGTTTGATTCCTTTTTTCCAGGTTAACCAGAAGTTATCCAAAAAAGTCAAGGAGGCTGAAGATCAACTTTGCCCTAAACCTAAGGCAAAAAAAAAAAAAAACTACACGAGAGCCTTTACAGAAGCAAGTGCTGATTCCTGGTGTAACTAGAAATAATATATATTATAAGAGACTCAGAATACAGAAATTAAAAATGTTGATTGGACTACATTGGTCTTGGTCTTGAGTCTTTATAGGAGCAATTCTGGGAATCATGAAACAAAAAAGTAATCTTTTTAGCACCAAGGAGAACTAAAATGGATTTGTGAATCAAACTTAGCAAGATGGAATTTATTATTTTCCAGAATATAAAAATTAAAAAAGAATGTAGCCAAAACACAATCTTGTTTAACTTCTTTCTAGATGAGAAGTGACTCAAAAAGACAAGCAGGGACATTTATAATTTCTTTGAAGGTTCTCTTGAAGGGAGTGTTCATGGTTAAAATTAGGAGTTTTCAATCAACAGCAGATATTGTCAGCTTCATCCAAAAGCCCCCAAAGTCTGATATCACTAGTTTTTATATGAGCTACTTGAAAACTTATGTTGAAACCATTAAACAAATTAATGTAATATTCCTAGCCTGAAAACAAACAAGATACTTGGCAATTCCCACCTGCTAGGAAAGCTGCAAATACAATCATAATTGGTAATAATAATAATAATAATAATAATAATAATAATAATAATAATAATAGTTGGAAGGGACCTTGGAGGTCATCTAGTCCAACCCCCTGTTCAGGCAGGAAACCCTATACCATTTTGGACAAATGGCTGTCTAGTCTCTTCTTAAAGACTTCCAGTGTTGGAGCATTCACTGCTTCTGGAGGCAGGTTGTTCTACTGGTTAATTGTCCTAACTGTCAGGAAGTTTCTCCTTAGTTCTAGGTTGCTTCTCTCCTTGATTAGTTTCCATCCGTTGCTTCTTGTCCTGCTCAAACTACTCAAACGTAATGGAACACCATATATGTGCATGCCATATGTGTGATCTGGCTAGTTCTATGGATTTTCATACTCTATTTAACATTAAAATTTGCATACATCTTTCATTTTGTGATTATTTTTTATTATTCCTGAGTGGTTTCTAGCTTTTTTAAAAACCATTATCAACATTTACTATCAGCATATTGAACACTGCACAAAATCTAAAAGTGATAGAGTTCTCATCCATTCACTAATATATCGATGAGAATTTAGAGCAGGGAAGAATGTACTAGATTATTAGGTTTGATTTCCCATTTTCAGTACAAAAGAGTGCAAGGGTCATATCGGGGATAGGCTCCAGCATACACTTACCCCTCTGCCCATCAGGCCATTGTTGAAAGGAAGGCCAATAAAACTGAAGGCTGCCTCCTGTATAAAATATGGATTCAGGATTCGGATCTCATGCGGCTCTCTTGGAACATGGGTTGCCACAGATTTCCAGAAGCCATCAGAAGCACTCTGTAAAAATGCAAAGAGCCATTGCAGATGGTTAGAGAACCCAAGTCCTGATTTCCTTTTGAATTCACCAGAACTGTATAAAGGAAATACAAATTAGGAATTGCATCTGGAATCTAACTGCTAATTGTGATAAAAATTGGAAAACAATGTAAGGAACTAAAATAATGGGTCTGTTTCAACTAGTCTTATTTGGATCTTTAAGATAGATTCTATCCGTAGATTCAGCTATCTTTGGAAATTACACGTGATTTATAATCCAGGCCTTGTTAATGAACGCAACTGTTTAGAAAACAGAGGGCGCAATGCATATTGGGGGGGCGGGGAAATCACTAGTAGTGTAGCTTGATTGATCTCACAAACTAAGCACATTTAGTTGGAGGATTCTCTGGGAATTCAAGGGCTAGACACGAATTTTTAAAAAATCCTGGAAAGACTAACACTAACAAGTAAACTGCAATCACAAGAAATTAAATTGTGCTTAAGGACATTTTAATTTTGATTGAAATACTGTACACAACATTTACAATAAATAATTTACACAGAGAGCCTTCATACTTCAAAGATTTTATTTCAAAACTTTTACACAAGACACGCTCCTCTAATGGAACACAACTCCTTAGTAGAAAGAAGAGATGCATTCAATAATTGCATGGGTATGAACATATATTATATCCATATCCATGCACACTCTTTGCTTTTCTGAAATAATGAGAAAAATGAAACTTAACTCAAGATATGCTTAGAAGAAAAAAATACAATCCCGCTGGGCTGTTCCCTAGACTGACCACCAAGACTGGTAGTATATTCTTTTGTTTTCACAGTGAACTATATAGACAGTGTGCCCTTTGCACTTGTGGACTGTAGGGAAAACAGAATGTCTACAGAAAAAAGCACCTCATAAATCCAGGACAGGGAGAACTCTGACAGATTAGGAAACTAGGCTCTCAGCTCATGTCCAAAATGGATTACATATCTTTATTTACTATAGTTTGGTCTCTGTTTCTTATGGTACCCAAGGGAAAAAGAATTATTTGAAAATCTACTACTGAGGAAAGATTAGTGGAGACACATCAAGTAATTACAGAGTGTCTGCTGTAGCATTGATCTCTTCCAAAATAATCATTTTTTAAAAAATCTTGTTAAAAATACACTAGTCCTGGAACATAGTGAGTCATGTAAGATTGAGATCATATTTCCAATGAGCTCCACCAACACACTCCCCAGTGGATCTAGAAACATGCCAATTTTACAACACAGTAAAATCAGAAATTGCTCCAGAGGTTTTATCTATTTCAAATTAAAACCTGCAAATGTACAATTAACAAACTGTTTTTAATAATTCCCATGAGTCATTCATTATTACCTGCTTCCAAAAAGAGTTATAAAATCTACTGGGATTTAATGATCAGCTAACAAAAAGAATCCAATGGGCACTGTACTGATTCCTATTCTTTCTTTCCTTTGTCTTCTTTTCTCCTTCTATCCACTGAGACTGTTCTTCACTTTAAATTTTTATGGTTATCTAGAAATGGTTAAATTGTATATGGGAAAAATCTTCCTGATAGATGCCTTGAACCAGGAGAGTACAATACATAGTCCTTCATTTATAAACACAATTGAACCTGAAATTTCTGTTGCTAATTAAGACAGTTGTTAAGGCAGTAACCCAGTTGTTAAGTGAATCTGGCTTCCCCATTGATTTTGTTTGTCAGAAGGTGGCAAAGGTGATCACATGATATTGAGACACTGCAACCATTATAAATATGAGTTAGTTGCCAAGCATCTGAATTTTGATCATGTGACCATGGGGGTGCTGTAATGGTCATTGTGAAAAACAATCATAAGTTACTTTTTTTAGTGACATTGTTACTTTGGTCACTAAATGAACTGTTGTGTGTTGCAGACTACCTATAATGTATTTGCGCTGTTGGAGAGAGCCTGCTATAACTTTCCATATAAATTCATATACTTATATTAAAAACTTCTGCATAAGGCTGAGGCAAATCTCTATTTGATAACATGGGAGAAGATCATGGCATATGAAGCAAATGATTCATATATAGTAATATTTGCATAAGCCACATTGTAATAACACTTGATTATTGCATATGATCAAAGCCAGTAATATTCATATGGCAAACGTGTGTGTGTGTGTTTATGAAAAAAATGTTCTTACCAACATACATGATTTATTACTTTAAAGATGAAACACTCGCCTCTCCAGCACAAAAGAAATATTAAAAATATGCACATTTTGGGGGATCAGAGTTCAAAGAGATATATCGTACAGATCAGCAAGTATTTGAGTATACTGATACGGAAATAAATGTAAATGAAAACTGGATGGGAGAAATGTTGCAGCCTCCTTGGGGGGGAAAATCCTCATTTGTTTTTACCCTTAAAATTTAATTAATAAATTTTATTTAATAAATGTAATCACATTACGTCTATTCCCCTAACTAGGCCGCATTCTCTGATTGGGTAATATAATTTATGTTTCTAGTTGAAAAAGTAGGAAGCAGTAGGCTGAGGTTGGTAGCATAGATTCCAGTTGAAGGATAATACTGTTGAGTGGGTTTTGTTTTAATTTGGGCTTTGTCAGGTCAAAAAATATAGTAACTTTGATTTAAAACTATTAAAGACTTCTTAAAAATGAGATTGTAAAATTTATGACCCTGAGCCACATGAAGTCTCCCCCTAAGTCTTGAGCATGATCCCTCTGTGGTGTCAATGATCAAACATGGAGGTGGTAATATCAACATTTGGTGGTTCTTTGCTCTCTCAAACCTGGACAACTTGCCATCATTGAAGGAAGCATGAATTCTGCCACAATCCTCAAATATTACTGAGCCGAAGCAGTTCACCATGGAGGAATGGATCAAAAGTCCTATACAGTGACACAAAAAACTGATTACTAGTTGCAACTTCTGCAACTACAATTACTAAACCTAAGAGGATAATTAGTTTTTCACATTGGCATGTGGGGTGTTTTTGTGTATGAAAATAAATACAAACTTTTGTGTTTTTTATATTCTCTCTTTTTCACACACACACACACAAAATTCTGATAATATTCAATAGCAAAAATCTGCAAAAATTAAAAATAAAGCAAATAATTTTCTATGCATGAAACATTTGAACTATACATTTCTTTACTATTGGGATGAAGACACTCTTCAGGATAGGGAGCTGGAAACATCTCAGTAGGAACTGATGCTGTGTAGTTAATCTGACTTTCAAGAAGCAGAAGATAAGAAGACTAAAGAGTAGATCTGCAAGACTCGTGGATTTATCTTCCATTTTATCCCAAGTCAAAATGATACAGTGTTTCCATTCTCAGTGTATTTTGAAGATAGATAGTTTTTGGCCAGGAGGCATATTTTGAATTCTAATAATACACTGTGGCACTCATGTAAAATAGCTGTCAGGACAGGGGCTCATCTTTTCAGTGGCATGGAAAATGTGACCAGTCTCAAAATATCCATTTCCTTAAAAGTAAACTGATAAGGGAGCTTTCCAAAATGCTCTTTATCCTTCAACTTAGTTTCATTGCTTTTGTTTCCAAGAAAGGCTAACATGACCTTGGGCCAGTCACTCTCTCTCAGCTCAACTCATCTCTCAGAGTTGTGGTGGGGAAAATAGGAGGAAAAAGTTGTGTTGGTTATGTTCAATTTCTTGAGTTATTTGTAAACATACTAAAGGCGGGAAATCTATCAAATAAACAATGGTTGGAAGCATCACTATTTCAATGAACTGAAGAGGGAAGCTTCAGGTCTGCCTAGAATTTGGCTAAATTGGGCAAAGGACTGGAATCTGGAACACTTTCGCCCCCTCCCACAAGTGAAGTCATATGTTTATCAGAATTATGTTTACAGAAAAAAAATGAGTCAAACTTCTAAAAAGGAAGAGCAAGAGAGGTGCTAGTTATGAGTTAAGGGTTGTAAAATAGATTTGGGAAAATGGAATCATTTTATCTAAGGAAGTAGACATCAAAGCAAGACATATACAAACTGAATTTGCTTACACCTTTTCCAGAATCTCCCAATGTCCAATATAGAGTGGAATGTATTCTGTCACTTCAGCAAAGACATGATGCATGGAAGAATATGTACAATATAAACAGAAGAGCAATTAGAAGATGGAATACCTGGTTAGTATCTTAGCTTGCAAGTGAATGAATCTATTTCCCTCTCCTTTGAACTTGTCAACATTCAGCCTTCTCTCTCTACAGGACATTAAATTGTTTTCATTATCAGATGGGGAGTTGCATTCTTAGAGCTATTTGATTCTCTGGCAAATGCATGTGCCAACGGTAGAGTTAAGTTGGGAAATTTCAGGGAACCCTTCTTGATGTTAGCCAAATGCCTGAACCTGACAGAACTAAAGAAAAGCTCTACTGAGGGTGTTAAAAAAAGAAAGGTATCTCAAGAATTTGTGAAGTATATTAGTACTGCTAATATTTCTAATCCTTTGTGTTAAAGTGTTGGATGTGCTCAGAAAGAAAATGCTTATCTATTTTTCATCACAGAAAGCCAATCAAGAAAGCCTAAAAAAGTACTGTTGCTAAACTCTTTCCAAGCACTTTATTTACCCATATTCCATTAAGTCTCTCCCAGAAAACTGACTAATTTTTATATAATTATTTGCAAAAAGGAACTATATTTCCTTCAGTGAGCAATGAACTCTCACAACAAAGAACATTTGTCATCAAAGAGAGTTACATTACAAAAGTAGAACCTGAGCAAAACAAACACGATGGAAATTTTCTTGGACACTCTCACCCTTTATTGCAAAAAGATCAGGAGGCATTGGATAGCACCATTCCAACTAATAGATTGTATTAAAAGATATCAGCAGCAGCTCACTTCATCATAAGAGAAAAATATTCAAAAGAAAAAAGAGAAATAAAATAATCCCCAATGCATAAAAAGATAAGATAATCTTTATTGTCATTTTTTACTATGAGCACACTGGCCCACATTAAAAATGAAATTCTGTTG